AAAAAAAAAAAACAAAAAAAAAAAGAAGAAAAAAGCAGGTGAAGAACAAAAACTGTTGAATTGAAAAGCTTATAAGCAAAAAAAAGAAGCTTTGAAATCCTATGTGAATTGGTCAATGAGATGAAAAAAGCATTTTGAAAAGTGAAACAGAAAAACAAAACAGATACACTGGCAGTAATCGACGACGACGACGACGACGACGACGACGACGTTTAGGCAAAAACTTGAAGACATAAAGTTTTTTTTTTCAAATGAAATGAATTATGGCCATTTTCCTTGTCTATCATATCTTTAAAACAGACAATAATTTAAGATTGCATAATGAAATCAATGAAAACAATTATATTTACATCTATGTATTAAAATGCACCAGCAAGACATAAACATTTTTGAAGACAACGGCAACTTAATCGGACACAACCAATTTTAATGCATTCATTACTTGTTGTTGAAATTCTTCCAATAAAAGTTTTTGAAATCAAATCTATGTGTAATTTACATTCGATTACCGTCCCAAAAACTTTTATTTACAAAAACAATTTTATTGGTCCACAGTTTTTCTGAGAAAAGAACAATCTTGTAAATGATTGCAATCAGTCGCTTGAAACGGGAAAAAAGTGCATGCTTTGACAATATATCGTTTCTATGGCTTCATATTACAATTTTTTTTTTGCTACGTATTACTCCCTTCATTTTAACCGTTACTTAACTTCCACAAATTATTTACTTCTCCATCACTTCTTCAGTGCTAATCAGTTTAATGCAAATACTCTACATTTAAATCACTAATGACTATTATGTAAAAAATTCTTTTTTCCTCATTCAGTGATTGGAATATTAACATTACAATTTTTTGTTGGGTTCATCATCCAACGTCATTACTTTCATGTCAGTTCAACTCCACATTGATAAAGCATAAATTTGGATTCACCATATTGATGTTGGTGATAACCTTTTACGTTCCCAATTTTCCCAATTATGACTCCATGCTTATCTGAACTTTAATACTTCACTATCTTGGCATATAATTGTTACTTGCATTTTCAAATATTTGAAATAGCAGTAGTGCGATGCATCACCAGTCACTGGTATTAGCGCTGCAGAATATAAAAATACCAAGTTTTTCTTATCCCAAATCTTACACAACGTAATCCAAAAAGAACTCTTTTTACAAACCTGTTCAATTCCGTGAAAAATAACAGTAGCAACAGCAAGCAATGCTTTTCTTACAGATTTTGACCAGCTACTTTTATGTTGAAAATAACTGCTCCAGTCACCTTCAAAAAAAGACTTTGTTAAAGTTTGCTACAACTATCATAATAACTGTTGACTAAACAATTTTTTGTACTCATGCAACGCCTATTGCCTATTCCAGGCAAACTAGCATGATTTTATATTTCTTTCGTTGGTTAATCCTCAGCTTCATCATTTCCATTAATTGATTTCTTGTTCAACTACAAAAGTTTTAAGGAAAGAGTTAGATAAACAGAAAAACCCAAGATCGTCTAAACTTGTCACCACACCAATACCTGTAGCAACTTGGTGATTTAGGTAACCGTCAAATTCATACAGACTTTCTACGATTCATATCTTTCAAAATATTCTCCTCCATACAGAAAATATAATCTTCAGAATTCAACTGAACCGCTCTTATAAAATTAGCTCAAGCGATGACCTACAATATTTAAAAGTTGCAGTGATATGACTCTCACAAAAATTCATTGTGATCTCTAGAACAAGTGTAATAATTTTGTACATAATAGTAACTAATTTCACTAATTCCACTAAATCTAAAGATATTATAATTTCACTTTAGCCACAAGTAGCATTAACATTTTAGTGCATATCTGTTAGAGTGAATAACTGGAAACAACATATATACCATAAATTGATGTCGCAAATCTTCCTTGGTTGAAAAGAGTTCAGCAACATGATTTACAACAAAATCATGCAGAACTGACGCGTATCGAATTGAGATGGCACACTGGCATTAGAGAGAATCACGGACACAATATATTTTTATATACCAATAACAAGACAAAGAAGTGACCGTCTTATAGAATAACACTACAACTATGACCACAACTTTAAGTCGTTCAAAGCTTTCGCCAGTAAGGCAGAGTAAAATACTGTAAAAGACTGGTTTTTTTATTGAGGTAGCATGACTGAATTAAATTTTAAATGAATATTTGACACACAAAAGGCTAAGCAAAAGATTGACAAAGTTGCCGTTTTCTAAAAGTTTTTTGGGAAAAGAGTTAGCCCGACGCGAGGCTCGAACCCGCGACAGCCAGATTAAGAGTCTGGTGCTCTACCGACTGAGCTAGCCGGGCACGTGCAGCGCTTCTCCAATACATATTGAAAGAGTGATAGCAAACTCAGGAAACGAGAAAAAACCAAAAAAACGGACTGGTACAGCGCACACCTAGCATCATCTTTGTAATATTACGTCAGTGTTCTTCAATCATCAACTGCGGTCAACTAATGAAAAAATTTGTGAAAAAGCCAATAACTTTGTAGCCTGGAGTTGGTCAATACGAATGTGTACCATAAAACAGTGGAACAAAACAGAGGCAGAATTCCTGTGTTTCGTTAAACAATAAAAGTATTTTTAAAGGAGTAATTCTAAAATTTCCGGACTCTCAATTGCATATCCAATTTTTCGGTCGATCAAATTACACCAATCTTTTCCTTATAAATGAACATTCCCTAACAACTGTTTATCACACTTACACGTAAGGAGATGACTTTCCTAATCGTTAAGTTCCGTGATTCTTATTGTCATATTTTTCCCGACGTTCCCAAAGAAAACTTTCAGTAGATAAACTTCTCAAACTACAACTTAATTTTTTTCCCCTCTTTCTCTGGTTTTTTAGAACAAAGGTTCTATTAGCAGACGCAATATTTACAACTGTTGTATCTCATCCGTTACATTTTGCACAGCAAACAGTCAAACAATATGTGGTAAACTCCTCGATACTGGTTGCACAAATCCAAAAACCACGTATTTGAGATGAAATTAATGAGCAACTTTGCCGAAGTGCTATACAGCTGGAACAATAACGCCATCAAAGTCCGTCCACCATTAGAAGATCTCGATTGGAATCACTTTCTGATCAAAGGGATGCCTAAGACATCTTATAAAATCCAGAATCCAAAGATGGCCCTAGCTAGACATGCAACATAAATTTTTAGCAGTAAGATTTTTATAACGGCAGTATCAGTGAGGATTCTTCGAGCGAACACTACTGCATGGAGCAGCAGCAAATCACCAACGTGTCTGTTCAGCTGCTATTAGCGCTGCAGCTCTCACGCTGAATGTTTTCCTTTTTACGCGACCGTATCGGCAGTTCTCTTACACTCTTCGATTTTAAAAGATTTTCTACCAAAAAATTTTGAGGCTTCGTCTGAAGTGTGCTGATGTTTTTCAAATTCATCGTTGCTCAACCTTTTTGCAACTATCCTCGGGAATGTCGGATTTTAGGACTGCTTTTGTTACTTTATTGCCAAATTTTGATACCGTTGTAGTTTTAGCTATGGTCTTAATTTTTTGCTTACAAAATCTTTCACTTGTCTTTTATCTTTCAGTTTCTTAATGGAAATGTTAATTTTGTTTTGTTAAGGAAATAAGCTTTTGATTCATCGCCCCAAGACCGTAGAGGAAAGAGACAAGTTTTCTCATTTTTATTTTAAATTACTAATTTGAGGTCGGGATGTCCGTAGTTCCAGAACCCGCTTCTACTGTTCCCGATGCTACAGCTGAAAAAAGTGTGCCATTAGTGGCAACGACAAGCGACAATAATCCCGGTTCTTTCGAGGAATTGCACCGTAAATGTCGTGAAGTATTTCCAATGTGTTTTGAGGGTGCGAAGGTTATGGTGCAAAAAGGATTGTCATCACATTTTCAGGTATCATTTATTTGTTTTACTGACTTAATTTTAAAACTGTTTGTTCTCCTATTTTCTAGTGCCGCTTGAGGTTTGGTAGGTTGAAGTTCTGCTTTTTTTTTCAATTTTTTCACTTTCTCAGACATGTTTATACTAGGTGTCACATACATTAAGTATATCGCCTATGAACACGGGTTACCGTTTTGGGGCAACATATGTGGGAACAAATATGTTAACTCCAACGGACGCATTTCCTGTTATACTTGGGGATACGGACACTGCTGGAAATACTTCGGCAACTTTTGTACATCAGTGGGGGAAATTTAGAGTGAAACTTCAAAGTCAAATTCAAAGTACGTTCAATTTTAGCCAGTATTTTATTGGTGGAGTTTGGTGTATGTCGTGCTTTGCTGCAGTTCGCTTGGAAATGGCATTTGTTTTGTTGGTTTTCATTATAATTCATCATTGAATTAAAACTTTACAGATAGCAAATTTTCTGCCGCTCAAGGTACTTTTGAATATCGTGGTCGCCTTTCAACATTAGGTTTAACATTGGCAAATATTGACGTCATCAGCGAAAGCGGCATAATAGTTGGACAACTTCTTCGGCGATTGACGCCATCTGTTGATTTAGGCGCTGAGCTGGTGTACCAGTATGGAAAGCAGGTGCCCGGCCAACAGATTTCTGTGCTTACGTACGCTGCCAGGTAGTTGGAAATTTGCCTACATCTTTTTTCTTATAAATTTGTTTGGAGGATTGATATAAAGTAATATTTTTAAGTTCTTTTGTCATTTTTGCGTAGCCACAATTTTTGTTGTGGCACCCTAAACGAATGTATGAATTAGTTCTAGTAGATTTAGAAGAGAGAAGATTTTATTTTTTAATATAGATTCTCCTTTTGAATTTATGTTGCCTTTCTTTTACTGATTATTTTTTCAGATATAATGGGAAAGACTTTACGGCTTCTGGAACCATTGGAAAATCTGGCTTTCATTTATGTTATTATCATAAACAGGTTGATAACCTTTCTTTTGGTGTTGAGTTTGAAAGCAATTTTCGAGCAAGGGAGGCTTTAACGACGTTTGCTTACCAAGTAATTCATTTTCTTTCACTTTATTTCATCGCTTTTTAGGCGAGTTGCTCCCTCCACCTTTTCCTTTAAAATTGGCTTTCTTTTTTTGCTTTTCTTTCTTAATTTGGTGGTATGGAATGAAATTGATACTGAGGGGTAAAACACCTTTCATTGTATTTGAGGCGGAGTTACCAGACGAAGGGGTTACGATGCGAGCTTCTGTTGACACTAATTGGACGGTAACTGGTGTTTTTGAAAAGAAGTTAAGTCCCAGCTTGCCGTTTACTTTAGTTCTTTCCGGTATGCTCAACCATGTAAAAGCGCAGGGCAAATTCGGTATTGGTCTGATTATTGGATAATCGTTCTCTTGATATTTAGCTCGTCAAGTAGTTCGTCTTTTCGTTTAGCTTTATCTACAGTAGCATTATCCATGCGAGGAGGGAAGAGCTACATTCAGACATCTTGCTTGTCTAAGTGAGCTTTTTTCTTCAAATTTCCTGGTACATAAAGTTGATCCATAAACCCTCTCAGTTTATAATGCCTTCAAGAATCCTGGGTCTCGCTACGTTTCAAAATCTAGCACTTTCTTTTCTGATGAGCAAAGTTGCTTTTGGCTCATCACTTTTGTTTTGGGATTCTATGCTTTTCAACTTAATTCTGTGTTTTGTATGGGTTTTGCATGAGATATGTTGCATCTTGTTTTCATTTACTGCCTTTTGCTAAAGCCGTTGCTTCATCTTCCTCAAAAGGAATTGAACGACTGGGCTAAAATTGCCGGGTTTAGAAAACATTTTTACAGTTTTGTTTCACTCTTTCTATTTGATCTTTTCTTTGATTCGTTGCTGAAGAAAGGGACTTTTGAAGACATGCTCAGGTTTTGAAAATGCATAGTTTCATTACATTTTCTCATTTGAAGATGGGGAGCTGCCTCTGGCTTTATGTGCTTGTTATTGTATGTTTTTTCATATAGTTATTGTTAATCTTTTAATTTTATCTGATTGAAAGCTTAATACTTTGTTGAGAATTTTATTAAAATTGTTGACTTTTATGTTAGGTTTTTATATTCACACTTAGTAATTTGTAATAGTTTTGCTCAATGCATAATGCGTTTTAGTGTTTACATTGAGTAATTTTAGTGATTGAAGAGTTTAGTTTGTAGAGCTTCATGTTCAGTTTCAGCTCGGACTTTTTTATTTTTTGTCTTACAGTACTTTGTAAGTCTGGAACTGTTAAGCGTAGTTACACGAGGACCTCCTTTTGTTACGGTTTTGTGGAACGAAGTGTAAGCATGAAATGACTGCTTACTTTTGTTTTCCTAACTATTAGAATTGCTAGGTAGGTGTGGTTAAGCATTTAAGAATTGAACAAAGTGAAGCAGTTGTTGTGCTTTAAACTTCTGGATGTAGTTTCCTATTGTTATTACTTTGAGAAGAACTTGAAAAATTAATAAATCGTGTCCTCTGATGACATGGGGATATTGTTGTTGTGTTTGAGGCTAACAGTCATGTTTGTAAAAGCTTTTCAGGTTTTGGCAGTGTTAATGTGCCGTAGAGGATTTGTTGAGATATTTTTTGAGCTTAGCTAGATGTTGGTTACATATAAAAGTCTTTTGCTTTTTTTCAGAGATATTCGTTTATATTCTATAGTAATTGCTATTCGGAACATGGGTAATGGGTAGTTTTTGAAAACTCGTGATGAACTGTTGTAATTCTTGGTTGGGTAGTTTTGAGAGGACGACTGTAAGTAAGACTTTCTGTCGTTGCAGTAGTTTAGATTTGTACTGTTCTTTAGTGTTGACTGGCTGCGGGACTGACTGCGCCGCGGTAGTCAAGGATGGATCCGCTTATCACCAAGTTTGCATTTACAGTGTTACTTGGAGCGATAGTTTTTCTCTTCACGAATTTACGTGCAAATGGTAAGTTGTCAATTTTTCATCAGGGAGTGAAGGTTATGTTGGTGGGAAATAGTCTTCTTTGCTTAAAATAGGTCTTGCCAGTTCAAGGGGTTTTTGCTAACTTGTTGTGAGGTCCCGTGGTGTTTTCTCCTGAAATAATTTTTCCAGGTTTGTGGTTTTTCAACAAATTTGGAACAGTTGACTGGTTTTTTAGTTTTTACTAAGAGTTGGGGTTTTTTGTTTTCCGAGATGCGGAAGTCATTGTTTTCAATAAAGGGATGGGACTTTATAGTTTTTTTAAGGAGTAGTACGTTGTATTTTGTATTTTTGAGCACTGATTTTTATGTTAACTAGTTGACTATATTGTCTTGAATTTAGCAACCCCACTAGTTCTTTTAATTGACGCTATATACCGTCTTTATAGTTAGCTTTTGAGTTTTAACGACTTTGTACAAAAGTTTTTGTGATGCTCATGTAATATTCCCAACCACAAAGTAAATCATGTTTTAACTGCCAGTTGGGAAGTTTTTGGGCAATGAACTATATCAAGACCACGCTGTTTCTTGATATCTGTGTTCTGTATGATATGGAGAAGCAGTTTCAGTCGGAAATTTTTTGGCGACGTTGTTTAACGGTTTTTGCAGAGATCGAGTCTGTCTTTAGTAGGTGTACACTATTTCACGGCTGTACTGAGTCTGGAATTGAGAGGAAATGGAAGACTCAAGCGTTGAAAATCATTCCCATTACTTACCAATGAAGTAAATTTACGTGAACTTATATTTAATGCGAAGTTACTGGAGGAGGTTGGATAAATATTTTGATTTTTGTATTGAGGTTTTTTAAGTCATCGGGCTGACCACCAGATATTGTATTGTATTGTGTGGATCAAAACTTCAAGGATTTTTCTTGTATTGCGCGAAATGATACTGCTAACTGGTAAATTATTTCATTTCAGTGCTTTGTTCAGAATTGTTGCGAGAAGCTGCAGTAGTAGCTTTCGCATTTGATAAATATTGCATCAATTTCTTGTTAGCTCTATGTGAAGTGTTTTTTTATTTGTAAAGGAAGTATTCATGTCAAAAACCGTCTACGAATTACGAGCAGAATGGGGCCGTAGACAGGCACCAGTGATTGGGACATGAATCATAACCATTTGAAAATTGCTTAGAAACGGAGTTTTTTAGGTTGTGAAAAAAGGTACTGATGTAGTTGGGGGGTTAAGCCAGTAAGAAAAGTGCCGTCGTTTCCCCTATTATTTGTTTGAAAATAGAAGAAAAGATAGATTATAAATTCAAACAGTTTGTTGCTGGCAATAGTCACCTTATTCTTTCTTCATGCTTTTTGATCAAAGAAAAAGTTCGTCGAAAGCTTTTTATGTGTCAAATATTTGGGGCGTGTTTTTTTTTATTTTTTTTTTGAACAGCCAAGAAGTATTGTTGTGTTTGCCTTAGCTGGTACTATTGATGGTTCATCATCACTATTGAATATGATCGTGCTTTTTTGTGCTTAAGTTTGTGTAGGGGTAAGGCTTGACCGAATCCGACAAAAGCATTTTTGCTTGTCTTGACTGCCTGAGAAACAGTGCTGTTTACGAAGAAGAACTTTTATTGTTTGTAGACAGTTTTATTGTTGCTATTGTTTTTTTTATAATTTTTGTTCGTAGACGCAGGCGTGAAGGTGTCTGTAAATAATTTATGATTAGAATTTTTGTGAAGGAGACTAGCCCTGTTGCCCCCGCTCCTCTCCCGCTTCCAAAAAGAAAAGATTTAAGAAGTGATGGTAGATCATTCCAATAGTGATCGTCTGTTTGCTGGAGGAGTATTTCTTAGACGTACCTTTATTGAAAGTAAAATATACTGATATTCTGTCAGATAACTGCTGAAAATTGTTAGCTTAATGTTTGTCATGTTTGTTCTTTAAGCTCTATACATTATTTTCATTGTAAATAGCCTGTTCGTTTGACTGTTGGCTAGTCTGGCTGCATCAGCGCAGTTTGATGAAAATTTTTAGACTACAAATAACTCTAGCAACTCGGGTGTTGGAGATTCAAAATTTCTCTTTCGTTTTTTTGAATATCTTAGGCATACATTAAGATGGCTGTTAATTAGTGTAGGAAGATTGATTTTATAGTTGTTCGATGAATGTCATGCTGGTTCTTTCAAGTGACGTTTTGCTTCAGTCGCAGTTTGCAGTATTTTACGATACATACGAGAGTTGTTTTTCATCCAAGGCTTTGTTAACTTGGACATTACCTTCAATAGTTGACTTTATCCAGTCTGGTTACGGGTAGAAAATAAAACCATTTCCTTCTGTCTTCTAAACTAAATATTTTCAGGACCAGGTCATTTGTTAATAGACGAAAATTTCAAACTGAGATATTCGCATGTTTAGTTGAGTAGGGGATGCCTCCTCCATAATGATTCCTGAAAAGCGGCAGTACTATTTAATGGCAAAAAAATAGCAACTGAAAGTAAAAATGAGAGTGAATTAGCGACTAAAGCACTTGTTTTTTATTAATGACTCGGGTTTTGCGAGTCAAATTTGCCAAAAAAAGTACTTCAAAAGTTTCTCAATGTTTGCCGCGTATACGAATCACAACAATATTTAGAACTGCCAGGATTTGGCAAAATTATGAACCAATGTGAGTGGCAGCGTTGCTTACAGATGGCAAGCATAAGACATTGTCTAGAAGGTTACCCGACTCAGCATTGTTGGAGAGCTAACAGTGATTAAGTTAATGGACAAAAAAAAGCCGTTGCTTCGGCTATAAATTTTATCGTCTCAGACTAATGGGAACCAACGAAAATGAGGGGTTGCAAATTGCTTTTGCTAAATTAGTTCGGGTTTATCAAGAAACTCCAAGGTTTTTGTCTATTAGTTAGCTGATTACTGTTTGACTACATTGTAAAAGGAAATTAGAGAAACTTTTGGCCCGTCTTACTTGGCACTTGATTTCTGTACTTTACTGTGAAGCAGCGGCTGAGAAAGGATCAAGGGATTAAGGTAAATGAGGGTGAAAAAGAAAAGAAGTTGTGAAATTTTAAAAGGGAAAGAAAAAAATAGGCCGACGGTAGATTGACTCTGAAATTTGGATTTTGAAACGTATCCAGATCTCTATAAATGTAGATATGCATTATACGCACAGTCGAAGCGTTGGGGTGTCATCACCACAGACAGACTACTGGCAATTTTTAGGATACAATCTATCATTGGCAGCATTTTCCTCTTTTTTCTTTTCTTTTTTCCGTCATTTTTTTAATTTCTGTGATCCTTTTTTATCTAAATTCAGTTAATGCAGAGGAAAGAGTGCTTTTTTTTATGTTACCTAAAAAACAATTTTTTTTGCCGTAACATTCTGCTGATTGCACGCGTAGGAGGGGAAAAAATTGGTGTTTCCGCTTTACGGAATGGTAAGTGGGCATGTATGGCTGCAAATTATCCATGATGTATGGATGTGCTTTATTT